CCCCTCCCTCCAGGGCACAGACTGCGGTACAGGCCATGGAGGAGAGCTATGAGGTGGACCTGGTCTACATCACGGAGAGGATCATCTCCGTGTGTTTCCCCGCCGGCGCCGAGGAGCGCAGCTACACCACCAACCTGAAGGAGGTGGCCACCATGCTGCGCTCCAAACACGGGGAGCACTATCTGGTGAGGAACCCCCCCCCCACCCAAGAGGAACCAGGAGACACATGACTGTATCACTTCTGATTTTGGACTGAGTGCCATTGTTTTACTGCACAAATGTGGCTCTTTAAGGGGCAATAAAAACAAATTTGAATGCCCATTTGTGCTTTGAAATGTTTATATCCGTCTCTTTCTGGTTTCAGATCCTCAACCTGAGCGAGTATAGGAGTGACCTTTCCAAGTTAAACCCAAAGGTACACCCCTCAGCGTCTGTGTTGTTTGAATCAAGACTAGAGCTGCAACTAATGGTTGTTTTCGTTATCATTTAATCTGCCGATAATCTGTCTAAAATTGTCTGTAAAATCTCAGAAAATTCTCTATCCCAGTTTCCTGCAGTCCAACGTCTTTAAATGTCCTAATTTAAAATCCGGAACCCAAATATATCAACTTTATTTTGATACAAAACAGCGTAAATCTCCACATCTGAGTGGCTGAAATATAAAATGTTCATTAAAAAATGACATGATAGTTTCTTTTTAAATTATTTTCCATTGATCCACTCCTACATTGGTCAATACTTGGTTGAAGCTCTAGTTCAGACACATGCAGATCTATCAAGTGGGCTCTTGTTTGAGAGGAGTGTAAACTTAAAATAACTTTTGATCCTTTTTGATTCCCTTCAGGTTCTGGAGTTTGGCTGGCCGGACCACCATGCGCCGGCGCTGGATAAGATCTGCAGCATGTGCAAGGCCATCGACACGTGGCTCAATGGAGACCCCCGCAACGTGGTGGTGCTACACAACAAGGTAACGCTGGGAGGAAATTAGTGTATGGTATTACAAGTTGTGTGTGTTTTAATGTGCAGTAAGGCATTATCGAATAGTAACTGTTGGAGAATGACATAGTGGGTAAAGTCTGCATTTTGGAAGCAAAATAGCCGTAACCAAATTGAAATTGATCAGTGCATGAAAAAAGTCTTGCCTAAATATCTACAAAAAACTCATTGTAAAGCTACAATTTGTGTTTGACAGACCTGATGGACTTCACTTTTTCTTCACAGCGGTCACTTACTAAAGTTTTTAACACACTAGGTGTACGAAAACCAGCAATTGAAACACTATAAATACTGTCTATAATAAATATGCATATATGGCTGCTGACCTTCCAAAATCAACCTACATGTAGATTCCCATTTTGTTCCCTGCTCTAGTGTTGCCTTTTAGAGTCCGATCCGTCACTTTACACAAGCAGAGTGATTACAAACTATTTAATGCTATTTACCGGAGGATTTATTTGTTCCTGTGTTTGTTTATGATGAATATAGATACCTTTTTACCCATTATGAAATATTTTCCTTTTTCAAATAAGCTTGAAATCATGTAACTGAGTCTTGTTGTCTCTATTTTTGTGTCTCAGGGGAACCGAGGACGCACGGGGGTGGTGGTGGCTGCGTACATGCACTACAGCAACATCTCCGCAAGGTACAAATCACCAACATCCAACACCTTCTTAAAACTCATTATCACATAATTATGGAGTGTTAGCAGAGGTAAATAACCAATATTGAAAATAACCTATGTAAGTGCATTGGTGCAATGACTCTCCTCATCAGAAGGTCTTATAAGGACAGGAAAAGCAATCAATCACAGTAAGGCCTGGAGGTCTGGGACTTATTAAACACCGTTATGATTATTATGGCAAAACACTCCAGCTTATTTCTCTGGCTCTGAGAAGAAGAAAATGTCATCAATCTTTAACACAACCAGATGTTAATGGGTGGGAGAGAGCCTGGAGGATTTAATGCTGCTTTGTAATTGATGAAGGCCAGGGGATATTTTATAAATCTCTAACTTTTGGAAAAATATGCATGACTTCCCAAATACAGCACAATGCACTCAAGTATGGCAAATGATAACAACAAGTCTAATTTTGTGCCGTGCAGTGCTGACCAGGCGTTGGACAGGTTCGCCATGAGACGCTTCTACGAAGACAAAGCACTTCCTGTGGGTCAGCCCTCACAGATAAGGTCAGTCATTACCTCACTTCCTGTGACTTTCTGAGTCTGATATTCGCTACAGTGAAGAGAAACCACCAAACACTGCATGTCAGGTGTATCGCTTCAACTGTACGACAGCACCGTGATTGCTGAGTTATGATTGGACAATCACTGGAGTCAATAGAGAGAGCGAATATTTCATTACATACCTCAAACATACATTCTTCAAGATTTGAGGGGAAGTCAACGTCATCTTGCCAAACTCGTTAACTCATCTTACCATTAGCTTTTTTTTATCGATTGCTTTTATAAAAGGTTTATTTCTCAACGTCTCACTGCTAAATGAAACCTGTAAGTATCCTACTCTTTGCCAATGATCTTAGTTTTTGCAGAAATCCAATAAAAAGATCCCAATTGGCTGTTGGGTAAACCACCACGAAGCAAATTTCTGGGTTGGCCTACTAAAAAATCCCTACAGCACTCGATAACAAGACAAACTGACTGATCATTGTCCATGTCTCCCATTTCATTTTACAGAGTACATTCCTTCTTGTTTTTCCGCTGTTTATCTCCAGTTGAATTGTAATTGGGATAATTGTGAGTAAACATCACAGCCTGGAGAGAAGCCGTCTATCTTGTCTGTCTGAGGGATTCCTCTAGTGTCTCTGGGGAGGCTTGGTGGCCGCTCATTCCAGCATATCAGAGCATATTTCCCTCTAATTTCTTCCGAGTTAATGGCCTTTTCATGAACTTCCAAACCAGAACGGGTCAAACCAATCAAGAGTGGTTTAAAGGTATTCAAACCATTTTGAATGCAGCTCCCTCTAAGGGGGAGTATCATCCCAAACATCCTCCTTTAACTCATCAATCTGCACCTATCATATTAATAGCATTATTAGACAGTTAACAGCTTAAAGGCTTGACCCCTCCTTCTGCTTCTTGGGAAAGGATGAGCAGGACAGAGGTTGCAGGGGATAAACGAGGAAACACAGGAAACAGCAGGGGACTTAGCACCACTTCATTTCAGCCATTCTCTAACGGGTCTATACGCTTGCCCTCTGCCCCGCTGCTATTTCCTGCTTCGGATATAATTATCTCCGCCCCTGGAGTCTTCAAGTATTATGGTCTGGAATGTGTGACATTAACATCAAGAGTAGGAGATGAGCTTAACCTTCTGCGGCTGCTATAAAAGCTTTTCAAAGTTTGGATCAAAAGTGTTACCTGTTGTATTTTACAGCAAACCAGATGAGCCCACGCTGAGAGGACAGGCTCTCATCCGAGTCAACTGGAAATGGGATGAATTCATTTAGAGTTTCTCGAAACCATTAACTTTTTTTTTTTTATGTTCATTGCCCACAAAAGAAGTGCAGAGATTTGAGGAAAATAACAACATCCTTTCATGATGCTTGTGTCGACATACAAAAAAAAAAAAAAAATGGGCAAGAAAGGGTGAGAGACAGGGGAGGACATGAAGCTAAGGGTATTCATTTAGTCTGGAGAGATGGAAGTGTAAAAATACTGTATTTATTGAGGTTTGAGAGAAAGAATGTAAGCCATAAAGGGGCACTAATAAGCTGATGAAAGAGATATTGAATTAAGTAATATAATGGAAGAAACTCCATGTTGGTGTATTTTATTAACTAAATGCTAAAACAATAGGTGCAAACAAAAGTGAAATGGCCATCTGCAATTATTCCATTTTCCTGCTCAGCTCAATTTGGGACTTCCCTAACATTTTAATATCTCGTACTTCTTGTTTGGATCATTCATTGATAAAAAACACACACACACGTTGTTGATTCCCAGCGGTGTTCTCCCCCGCTCTGTTTAATTGAATTTCTACGAGGCTAAACCATCTGGCCACTGACAGCCGAGGAGGGGGGGGTGGGGGGTGTCTGCATGTGGCGACCCCACGGTCAAGGTCGCGTTCGGTACCATCATCATTATCATCATTAACAACCAGACCACACTAACTCAGCAGACCCCGACTGGCCTCTGTACACACACACAGTCACTCTGACATTTCCCGCAGTGTGTAAAGCTGCTTTTATAGTCAGAGTGGGAGTCAACAGCAGGGCTCTCAGGTATTGACCAAAATAACAAAATAATATCACAAAACCTGATTTAAATAATACCTGCATTAGTGCTAATACACTGTATATATATTGGAATATGCATTTATTTTATTTTAGCTTTTAATTGAACTTTTGCCACTGTTACGAAATTACCCCCTTGGAGAAATTAAGTATTTTGACTTTGATAAGGGGAACTAATATTGTCAATATTTTTGTACAATACCCAGCAATAGGTAAAGGTGAGACACACATGATGAGAGTTTAATTTGATTGGATTTGGTGTGTTTTATAGCTAGAGGTGGGATACTTGTTTAAGAACAGTCATTATTATCAGTATATATTGTAAAAGTTATACACGGACGTTGCTTGTCTTCCTTTCTCTGTAGATATGTGCAATACTTCAACGGCCTTCTTTCCGGACACATCAAAATCAACAACAAGCCCCTGTTCCTGCATCACGTCATCATGCACGGCATACCCAACTTTGAGGCCAAAGGAGGTGAGAATCTGACTCTGCTAACACACACAGAAAGAAACCTACTGTTTTTGTTTCCTCTGAAATTACTTTCTTGATTTCTCTTTACAGGCTGCCGTCCGTTCCTGAAGGTCTACCAGGCAATGCAACCAGTCTATACGTCAGGAATATAGTACGGAAACCTTCACTCCACTTCAGTGTAGTTTGAATAAAGAACTTTATTGTCCCGTTTATTGGATTAAACAAGACATTATTCATGTTTTTATCTACAGCAATGTACAAGGAGACAGCAACACCAGTATCTGCATCACTATTGAACCCGGGCTGCTTCTGAAGGGAGACATCCTGGTAAGATTCCATTGTTTAAAATACGGTGTTAATGCTGATTGTTGAGTCGATTCATGTATTAATGTTTTCTATCTTATCGTAGCTGAAGTGTTACCACAAGAGGTACAGGAACTCCACCCGAGACGTGATGTTCAGGGTGCAGTTCCACACCTGCGCCATCCACGACCTGGGGGTGGTGTTTGGGAAGAACGAGCTGGACGAGACCTTCAAAGGTAACGGCACTTCGGGTGGGTGTGAATTTTCAGTATTTGTCATTATGTGTGTGTGGGCTAATTGTCAATCCCAGAACAATGCATTAAATATGAACAAAGATATTTCTTCTTAGTGCTACATATCATTGTGGATTGTTTTAATGAAGTTAAAAGTTATGAGATCTAAATTAAAATATTGCCATCTGATCTATGATTGTCTGTTTTTTTTTCTTTTTTGTGTGTATTTTACTTTTATCGTCATGCAGTTTTTTGTGTGTTTGTGTCCTTTGTTTTAAAAATATTATTTTTATACTGTGTCTCTATGCAGATGAGAGGTTCCCAGAGCATGGGAAGGTGGAGTTTGTTTTCTCATATGGACCAGACAAAATCAGAGGTAATCCAATTCACCTGACTGAAGGGGAAAATGGTGTAGAACATTGAAAAATATATATTTACAACTTACTGTAACTAAAGTTATCTAACATGATATGTTGGATAGCTTTTTAAAACATTGACAACAGATGTATGCCAACTTAAAGAAAGTTTTTGGTTTTTATTTTTTATTTTGCGAGTACTCCATTACCCATCATGCCATATGTCCCTCAGGCCTAGGACACCTGGAGAACGGGCCAAGTGTTTCTGTGGACTACAACACCCAAGATCCTCTGATCCGCTGGGACTCATACGAGAGCTTCAGCCAGCGCTGTGAGGAGACTGTGGACGGAGAGCTCGGTATGTACACACACACACACACACACACACACACACACACACACACACACACACACACACACACACACACACACACACACACACACACACACACACACACACACACACACACATAGACTGGGTATTCTCCCTCTGCAGCGCTTGATGTGTTGGGTCTCAGGTCAGGACAGTTCAAGGCAGTGGGAAACCAAAGGAAACCCATAAAGGCGACAGTGCTTTTGTTCGTTGTAAGGTACATGTGCTGGAATCTAACTAAGTGGATTTACTCGAGACCAGTAACCAGGTTTCATAATCAGATTCAGAATACCTTATTCTTGTCCAAGAGAAAATATGAGATGCTCCAGTATAGAACAGAATCAAATCAAAGATTCATAAACAAATATAGAATACAAATATCTATGCAAACATAGGAAGTTAAGGTAAGAATGTGCAATGGAGATTCTATAGACATAAGTCAAAGTATAATGTCCAGTAAATGGATCAAATGGAGAAAAACATTTGTATCAATTAATAAATACATGAATAAATAACTACATAAATAAAAACATATATCAATGAATACATATATAAATAAATAAAATAAGATTTCTGCATAAAACACAAGAGTTTATCAAATATGTTTCTAAATTAAAATGTAGTTTATGCAAGAACAGCTAAGCCAATAATCCATTACCCAAGTGAGAGAAAATGAATTTAACACGTTTTTCCATTGTATTTCAAATAATTCTTGGGTCGATTTCTTCAATTTATTTAAGATTGTTCTGCATCTGGTACTATTACGTTTAATACTTAAAGGTGGCCTATCATGCAAAATGCACTTTTGTACGTCTTTTATACATGAATATATGTGTCCCCGGTGTTCCAGGGAACTCACCAAGTGTCAGAAAACACAACCCTCTCTATTTTCCTCCATACCCAAATCTCTTAAAAAGGGGTTGCAACGGATCTGATACAGACTGATCCAGATTTGAGCACTTCTATGACATCACAGAAGTGGCGCTACGGCTATTGGGCCAACTCCACCAATCAGGAGGAGACAGCCACGGACATTGCCGTTGGAAAGCGCTGGAGACACTGTAGTGCATATGCCAGGCCTGTAGATGGTGCTGTTCTCACATAATCAGCCCATGCAAAGACAGTGTTAAATTGAGCGAAATGAGGAATGGCTAAAATGCATGATCTATTTGGTATTTTGAAAAATAAAAAGTATAAATATGCCTATATAGGTATGGTCCTACACTATATTATTCAAATATAGCATGATAGGTCCACTTTAAAGTACATTTTGCTACTTAGACTTACTTAGTATTGTTTCCATACTGGACTTCTACTTGTAACAGAGTCATTTCACATTGTGTGTGGCATTAGCATGTTTACTTTCCCCGAAAACATTGAGTAGTTCTTTCAATACAGCATTTCATTTTCAGTAAGAAGATGTGTTTGCTCTAAGATCGTACTTTTAGTGTCTCCATGAAACAGGAGACTCGTCTGCTCTTCGGCCAGATGTCCTTTCAAATCCATCTCCAAGGAAAGAGTCAAAACTAGCTCAGGGCGGTGTCACGCTTGTTGTCCGTTGTACTGATGATTAGTGGGATTATTCTTCTAGATGAGATACTTTTGCATCCACAGCGAGTTAATCACGGCGCCCCGTGGTGCAGAGGCTGAACAGTGGTCAGCTGACATCGGGGCCCATCAGTCCAGGCCTCGAGGGCTGTGACGCTCCCTGACTGTGGACCGCATCACTCCTCCACCCTCCAGCTCTATTCTATAGCTGCGTGTGGACTACATTCATCTATATTCAACGCAACTCAATTGGAAGCTTTAAGGGGGTTTTACCGGTCGTATCCCGGAAGTCTCGAGCGTATCGATAAGTCCTCCGTCTATGAGACCCGGGCAGGCAGAGCTTCCCATTCTAAACAATATCATTCAGGCATGATCAAATCCGCTCACACTGTTCTAGGTCTCACGCTGGGTTTTTGGAAGCTCCCGTTTTCCCAAGCACAACACTCCCCGATACCAAAGTGATGCAACACTTCCAACAAAGAGGCAATCGCGGGAGGAGTGCGCGTTTTTCTAACAGTCCGTCTAAGTACCCCAGCACAGTTGGCATGCCTCTGCTCTCTTCCTCCCACTTTATCAACTTGACGGATATTATCGCTGTATTCAGTGGTGGGCATCCTGAGGCATCAAATGCTCAGAACACAAAGCTAAGGTCAGGGAGAGAGGGGCTGCTGAGATCTGCCCGCTGCATTGTTCCCAGATCATTTCAGCTATCTTCTTTTTAGCTCGTTTTGTCCTCCACTCACTCCCATCCTTTTCTCTCTCCATCTGCCTCTAAATGACACCGAAGCACCGAATGCCCCTCCGACTGATGTGTCTGCGTGTGACCTCCCTCCTTTAGTGGAGCCATTCACAGGCAATGCTAGAGTAGACTGCCTGGCTCTTGGCGGGTAGACAGTGACACGCGGCTGTGCGCTGATAGACTTTCCACTGGAGTGGATTAAATCAGCATCAGGCTAGTGGAGCTGATTACCCCAATATGAAAATGCAGTATCTTAATGGTACATATTTTCATGAGGGAGCCCAGTTGCCTTTCATTTTGCGGCTAATATGTCTATTCTTATGAGTCATTTACTTCTTTAATTACCTTTAGCAGCAGATGCACAATGGTGTATTAATGTGAATGATTTTTACTGCCACTTTATCATACTGAGCCTGCGAAGTTGAAAGGCGTAATTGAGGTGGAAGAGCGACTCATGAGAGAAACAATATTTAGTTGACAGCTCCTCTTGTACTCTGGGAGGCTGTTTATGCGTTTACACCGCACTAAAGCTGTAATAAACACAACATTCGTTTAATAATGGCGGGGGACGGAAATGCTTTAGCTCAGATCTTCTCAGTTATTTAATCATCCCGGGAAGTTGTTTGGTATAATAAGCTGTGTGTGTGTGTGTGTGTGTGTGTGTGTTGCATGCGTTTCTAGCTGTTTGCAGCGAGCAAAAGCCTATTTGTCGTGCTCTCGTTTGCAGCATATGCAACTCTGACAATCCATGTCATTTGCATGTGCGTGTGCTCGTGTTGTGTCTTGTGTGTTTTGTCTGCAGCTTGTGTACTCTCCCTTGGTGTGATTTTCTGATCCCGGCCGCTCTTTCAATGGAGGCCTTCTTCAGCCATCTGTTGTTAAGCTGCTGGCTAAGCAAGGCTGGGGGAATCCAAACAAACGGCGAGCACACAGAAACGGAAGCTGTCAGGCCGGCATAGCTGAGCTGACCTCGG